GTTACCTCAACTCTCAGAAGAGATTAAGTTCTAGGCATGGGCGTTGGGTTAAACATTTGCAGGCCTATCATTTGTGTTAAAACACAAGAAGGGCGTGGAGAACCAAGCAGCTGACGCGTTAAGTCATTGTGTCTCCCTTTTGTCGATCATGAGTGTCAAAGTCATTGGTTTTGAAAGGCTTAAGGAGGATTACGAGGCATGCCCAGATTTTAAGGATATCTTTCTCGATTTGCAAGGAGGACAATCAAACAGCACAGATGGCTTTCGACTTGAGAAGGGTTATCTCTTCCGAGCCAATAAATTGTGCATCCCTCGAACTTCAGTTCGAGATTTTATAGTGTGGGAAGTTCACGCGGGAGGGTTAGCCGGTCACTTTGGGCGTGATAAGACCATTGAGGAGGTTGAACGCCAATTCTATTGGCCTAGTTTAAAGAGAGATGTGGCTAAAATTGTTAGTACATGTAACACTTGTCAATTGGCCAAACAGAAGAAGCAGAACACAGGCCTATACACTCCTCTCCCCGTCCCCAATTGTCCTTGGCAAGACGTTAGTATGGATTTTGTGCTAGGACTGCCACGCACCCCAAAGAAGCATGATTCTATTTTCGTGGTTGTCGATCGTTTCTCAAAAATGGCTCACTTTATCCCCTGTAGCAAATGTCGATCGTTTCTCGAAAATGGCTCACTTTATCCCCTGTAGCAAAACATCGGATGCGTCCAAGGTTGCCATGTTATTCTTTAATGAGATTGTCAAACTGTATGGGCTTCCCAAGACCATCGTGTCCGATAGGGACGTTCGCTTCACTAGCCATTTTTGGAGGACTTTGTGGCATAAGATGGGTACCAAATTAAAATTTTCTACAGCCTACCACCCTCAAACTGACGGTCAGACCGAAGTTGTTAATCGGAGTCTTGGTAACTAATTACGTTGTCTGGTCCGGAAGAACCTTCGGAATTGGGATTTAATCCTTCCTGTCGCTCAAACCGCGTATAATAGCTCCGTAAATCGTTCATTAGGTATGAGTCCATTTGAAGCCGTTCACGGATACAAGCCTAGAAAACCATTAGATCTCATCCCTATGTCCCCACAGGCTAGAGTGTCAGTATCAGCCGAAGCATTTGCACAACACCTTCGTGATTTGCACATTGAGATCAATAAACAACTTGAAGCTAATAATGCAAATTATAAACTACAAGCTGATTTACATAAACGACACATTGAGTTTAATGTTGGGGATTACGTTATGGTTCGCATTAGGCCAGAGCGGCGTCTACATGGACCCGCCTCCAAATTGCAAGCTCGTAGTGCTGGTCCTTTTAAAATTTTAAAGCAAGTTGGTTCAAATGCATATATTGTCGACATTCCATCCCACATTGGTTACCACCATACTTTCAATGTTGAAGACCTTGTAGCTTATAAAGGCCATTTCATTCCCTCAGATGATCCTCTGTTACCTCCTTTTGTGGACCTTGATCCTAATTCTTTGGCCCCCTCTAACCCACTACCACCTCTCACAGCACACACAGATAAAATTGATGCTATTTTAGATGAAGAAACTGTGTTCACTAATGATGGAGAGGTTCAGCGCTTCCTTGTTCGTTGGGTTGGTCGACCAGATTCTGATTGTGCATGGATCTCCAGGGAGACACTACAGCATTTGGATCCAAATTTGCTAGAGCTTTATCTGAGTCAGCAGGATCTTCCTTGGCCCAGATCGCCTCCCGTCCACCCGAGGGGAGTTGGTGAGGACACCAGGTTCAGACCGCCACTGACGCATTTCTACAGACGCAGGAAGAAGTTTGCCCAGCCACTCAGCTTATGGTTGGGAGATTGACAGATACCTATGGTGATATAGCCACTCGACAAGGTCGAGTTTTCTCTCCCACCCCGGGAAAATTGATGAGGACATCCAGTTTTAATTAATTTTAGCAATTTTAATTATTTTAGTTGGAATTTAGGTTATTTTAATTTTATGGACTTGTGTATTGGGTTTGGCCCTAGGTTTGCATTATTTTCCAGTATTTAAACCTATCTTACATTGTTATTTGGGACGATGAATTTTGATTGAGTAAAAGTTTGGCTAAAGCCCCATTTCTCCTCTCTGTGTTCTTCCCCGATTCCTCTCTTCTCCTCTCCTCACTTCCCCCGTCTTCTTTCTCTGTTATTGATACTACATCAGTTATTATCGGTCACAGTTGTCAAATTTTTGTAGCATTCATAGAGCAGTGTTCAATTTTATTTCATCTGCTAAATGTTTCGACAAAAGTTGATTCTCCAAAGCGTTTTGGAGAGCAATAGCTTTATATTCTACGAAGCAAACTTAAACAAGAATTAACCTATGCACAAGATTCTTATTACTAAGTGATCAAGGGAATGGATGAGGAAAAATAACATAAATCAGGAGCTATTATTACACAATTTGAACAAATATTTTCTTTATATGCCAAAAAGAATTGTAAAGAAAAGGAGAATTAAAAATTGTTCATCAGAACAAATAATACCAAAGGACAGAAAAGAGTTTTAGTATATCTCAGGTTTGGGAGTAAGGTACTCTGGTCCAAATGGGACTGAAGGCGGGTTGAAAGAATAGACAAAATAAGTAAACAAAGCCTTGGTGTCAATGATGAATTAACATATTATTACTTTGGACCCTCCGGTGAAATAGATCAATATCACTGCAATAAATATATCGTCAACAAGCATATCTTAAAATGAATTATGATATTTCTTGCCTTTTCCACAATGAATACTGTACATTCTTAATCATGAGCTTCAGTATAAGATAGTTCAGATTATTATTATTATTATTGGTATTAAATCATTAATATAACAAAGTAAATAACTCAAGAAACTAGTAAAAGCATGTCCGAAGTACAAGAAACTATTCTACATCCAACACGTTGTACACCACATACAATTTGAATGTGATATATTAAGCTGATATCTGAACCAAAAAATTGTAAGAAAAAGTAGTAAAGGGGCTTAGCTAAAATAAACCAAGTAACAGAAATGGTTGTAGTTTAAAAGAATAAGCCAAATCTCCTTAATACACCTGCTTGTTGTAATATAATAAACCAAATCTCCTTAATACACCTGCTTGTTGTAATATAATAAACCAAATCTCCTTAATACACCTGCTTGTTGTAATATAATAAACCAAATCTCCTTAATACACCTGCTTGTTGTAATATAATAAACCAAATCTCCTTAATACACCTGCTTGTTGTAATATACTGACTCCACTGACCAGGACAGCAAAACAGCCAAAATCTGATAGCTCCGCTGACGAAGGCATCTTGAACCGCCTGCCACGAATATGGTTAATTTACTTTACAACATATAAGAAACTGCACAACCAGGGACAATTAGGGAAAAAGGAATAAGCCCAACCAAATGAATCTTCTTAAATGGATAAGTCTTACTTCAGTGCCAGAATGTTAATTTATGGTGAATGGTGTAAATAATCTCCATACGTGACTTCAGATTATGCAACCAAAAAAAAAAAAAAGAATGGAAAAATAATTCTGATCACGTGGGTTTTCAGGGTTAATGTAAAACATAATGTTCATAACAGATGAAGTGTAGGTCTACTCAGTATATTTAGCCAACTTTCTCAATTTATGGTGCTTTTTGACCAAGATTATTCCACAAGAATTGAACTGTACAACAAATAAGGACTGCGGACATGATTGAAAACGAAATTATCTCAGAGTATAACTGGGACAGCATGCTTTTAAATATATATGAAAGGTGCATCCCAACATTTTATTTCAAGCATTGAATGTAATTGTTATTTAATTATTTTTAGAATTGTAACTCAAAATCCATACAGCCATACCCCAAAAGAAGTGGGGGAAAAAATTGAAATGTATAAATATATATATCTGAACGAAAACAAATAAACTTATGATAACAATGATAGAATAAAGAGACCAAGGTGAGTCATCATTATTTGTTTTCTGTCTCAGAGGGAAAGAGGAAGTGTTTATTAGCTAGGAAGTCCACGGAAAGTTCCTTTCCACAGAAAATAAAATAGCTTCTTTCAAATTAACCTATGAAATGTAGTCATGGACAGTTCGGAGTAATCTGAACCTGTGAAATTTTCAAATAAGTTAATTTTGTGAAGTTTTTGATACCTAAAGCACAAAAAACGTCATGCCTAGAAGGGAATGAGGGGTCCACAATGGCCCACTAAACTTTAATCAAGGAAGTGCTGGTTAGAAGGAGACAGAACTGACCTTGTTCTAAGAAGCCTCCATAAGGTTTCGATGATCCGTGTTGGCACGACGGTCAACAATGATACAAACGAATCCAGGCAGACAGAGAATCCAACAACTATAATCTGCAAAAAATATCAATCTACTCTCAACAATAAATATTACAAAAGAAAACATTCCTAAATCAACACAGTAATAGACATTATAATGGCATTGCTCTATTCTTAAAAGAGCTAAAATTCAGTACTTGGCGATGAGGAGGAGATAAAGACCAAGGTAGAGAATGGGCATTTCTGTCGGAAGCTTCCTACCTAAGCATGCATACAGTTTTTTACTGGAGTAGATTAAGAAAAGATAGCAACTTTACAAGTTCACATCGCCATGGCAAGTGAAATATTGTATCACAAACTCATTCTCGTCCCTTATCATTGCAAAGGGTGGTGGTGCTCCTTAAGGAATTTCTAGCATCAATTTCTTCCATGAAATATTTGATTGGGAACTTCTCTACAAGATGTGTCTGATAGAAAATCATAGCACTGAGACTGAGAATGCAGGGAGAAAAAACAGCATTCTCGTAAATCTAATGTTCCATTAAGTGCAGAACATCTGGAGAACAAGCCATTATATCGTTGTGAGGTATCAAAAGACTATTATATCCAAATTACGACAGAACACAAACAAAAAGTTACAACTTAAGAAATCAGTATACATGGGAGTTGGGACACAAGCTTTACGCATCTCATTTGCATCTCAACATTGCCATCAGAACCTGCATGATCTCAATTTTAAGGACATAAAGGATTGAGTTTGAAACTTAATAATGTTTCCGTTAGGGATAGGAAACTGAATACATGGGTATATTACACTCCACTGATTACATATAATGAAAAATTAACTAATAATTTCCTTTTAAAGTCATCGTGGTACAAAATGCAGCAACGAGAAGGGAATCCAATTATCCAAAAGAATAATGGACGAGAGTTTCAGCACTCGTTGTCAACTAGAAAAAGTGAACATGTTAAAAAAAATAAAATGAAAATGAAAGGACTTGGAACAATTCAATGTCATGTTTGTAGAAAAAAGAAACACTTGAGGCCTATTAAATCCTAAAAATCCAACTTTTAGCAACACAAGTTACAAAAAAGTAAAGCAAAAATACAGCAAAGTAACCTATTCTCCTTCACAAGGTCGTCTGTAAAGTTTATGTTTGTATCCATTTTCCTTCTCATTTCTCCTTTACGTGCAGGTTTTCAGTGAGTTGAGTTGTTTAAGGGAAACTTTTTGTACGCCTCTGCTGAAACAAATTGAATTTACTAATTTATATTTTTACAACCTCCTTGAGTGCATAAGGGCATGTTCAACCCATCCTCATTGCGAAATTCACCGATTTGTACCAAATTTTTGGTGCAATTCATCTCCAACCCATTGCACCATCTACTAACTTCAAGCATAATACTGAAATGTTGTTCATTCATTAGCCAACACAAACATAGCCATTTTCGTCGAATCAATTATAGACAAACAAATCGATTTTTATAGAATGACAGAAATTAATCATATACACATTAAACAAAAACAATAAATTAAGTATAAATTGACTTACGAATGGGATCTTCATCCATCAATTTCTTCCAATCCAGTGATTCTCCCTTCGTCAATTCCTTTCCATTCATTTTTATAGTCTGATTTGCTTCCACTCTATCCTTCACATCATCATCATTATTGACTTACGAATGGGATCTGCAGAAGCGTGGATGGCCTTATTTACGTCATAAAAAAATTTTTAATTTACAAGAGATTTAATTAAAACCCGACCCAATCCGACCCATTTAATTAAAAATTAATTTACGTAAAGGGAATCCCTTCATATTATTTACGCCCATTAACGCTTCTAGCTCTCGCATCTGACTCTCGTCGCCGCCGCTCGCCGCTAAAAGGTTTGTGCATCAGAGAATAAATATAAAGTCTTGTCACGTTTAATTAGTTGAATTTAACTTGTGTCTATTAACATATATGTAGATTTGAATATCAGGCATGAGATAACAGAGATGTATCAGTTATTTTTTATGATCTTGATCAAAGATGAAACCAAAAAAATGAAGAAAATCCTTTCAAAAAATAAGAACATGTCCAGAGAATATTTTTTTTCTGGGTGATTTTGATTATATCATTAATTAAATGGTTATTGATTATGAAAGCATATTTTTGTCTGCAAAATGGGAGCTCAGAGAATAAATTTCTCCTGGGCGATTTTGAATTGGTTATCGATTATGTAGGGCATATTTTTATGCACAGTGGGAGTTAAAGATTACCATTCTTTTTTGGAGCATGAATATGACCTCTAAAACTCTTGTCAATTGGCCTTTGGTCTTGATGAACATCAGTCTGACATATTACATTGGAGTTATTAATATTTTCTATTATCGATGTTGAAATTAAGTTGTTAAGGAATCCTCAATTGATGAATTTATCATTTTGTTACACTTTTCATCAAAGTTTTTAGCTTGTCCTTTCACTATTACATTTTAAATTCCTCACTGATAGTTTTAATTGTTAATTATCTTATATGCGCAAGGCTTAGTACGCATCAATGCAAGAAAAAATTGTTGCGGTTCTATGGTAATTTTGTTACTATGTCAACTCCAAGAAGTATGTTTCCAGCCGCAACATGTACGTTTGCATTGATGAGGGAATCTTCCTTCAAGAATAATTTTTATCCCAAGTGTTGTTTTCATAAAAGTGGAAATTCATATATAGTGTTTTTTTTTTTTTTTTTTGGGTTTTCAACCGGCTTGACTTCGGTTAACACACAATTCTATTATGTAGGACCAGCCCTGTAGAAGTTGAGCTATAATTGATGCAGGACAATCCTATTATAAATAGGATAGTATTTAGTTATTATTACAGTAAGATTTGTTTTTCCTTTTAGATTAGAGTTTTATTTTCCTTTTAGGATTTTAGTTTTTTTCCTCGCATTGGTAAGATAATGGAATTATTTTGCCTATATAAAACAAAGGCTTAAGGCTTTACATACTTTTCAATAACCAATTCCTTATAGTAAAATTATTTTCTAGATATTTTCAAGATTTTCCACTTTATTTTTGTTTTAAAATTTTCAATTTTGCTTCTGCACCACTTTTTCTGAAGTCACTAAGAAAGACTTGTGTACTGCAGGCAACAATGAATATAATTTGACAGAAGCCAGTACTCTATCACCAAAGGCAAAGCAAAGTTCACAATGGTAAGATTTTTTTCCCCCCAGATTACACCTGGATTTTCCTTTTTCTGCAGTCACTAAGAAAGCCTTTCATGCTGCAGGCAACAAAGAGAGATAATGTGAGCAAAGCGAGAATTTGTGTCCCCAAAGGCATTTCAATTGGCAAAAATCAAGCTAATTCGTCTTCTTTTAAGTGGAAAAAGATTTCTCTGGGGCCATTGGGAAGTTAAAAGAACTTTCTGTGAATCTGTCTTCAAAGGACATTCCAAGGAAATGTCGTGAGTCAAATTTACCCGATTCAGAAGATGAGCCGATGCGACAAGAAATGGAAATGTTAGAAGAGTTTCACAGCTATGAACTTTGCTGCAAGAGCCAAAAGACAAGGATACTAGACTCATTGAGTACAATTAATTGCAATAACAGATTAAATCATCAGTTTTTATTTCGTTTTTATTCTGTCTGGTCAACTAACTTCCACTTTCTGGTGTTAGGTAGTACTGACACTGAATCTCTCGCTCCTCCACCATACATGGCAGTGGTAATATCTTCAGTTCATTTCTCTTTGATATTCTTGCAGTGCATGCTTTTTTAGTCAAGAATTTAACTTTATTTCCATCTTTAATGATATCCATTCAACCTCCAAACAAGTAATAGTTTATCATGTTACTTTTCTATAATAGCGTCTGATATAATGACTCTTAGTTCATAATTACCCTGTGCAGCTTATGGAACAAAAAGAAAAACGAAGAAAGAAGTTCAAGGCTTCAGAGGAGAGAATAGCTTTAAAAATTGAAAAACTGATTCGCGAAATGTCTCCTGTTCACGTACCCAAATCAAAGGGACGAAAAAGGTCTGAAGAGGAGAGAATGGTTTTGGCAATTGAAGAGATGATTGACGAGATGCCTTCTGTTTACATACCCAAATCAGAGGGACCAGGTACACTCTAGGAGAGGATGGTATTAGGGTCTGAAGCTGAGAGAAGTCTGATGAATCCTTGATCCTCTCGTGATCTATGTAATTGGACTACCTGGTGATGTTCTTCATTACTTTTGCAAAGACTGATTATAATCCGTTGTGACTTTGTTCCCCTTTTAGATGAAGTTTATCGTTTTTCATAACTATTTGACTAATAACCCTTATAATCCGTGTAAATATTTTCTCTAGTTTGATTTTACCACGAAAATCTGATGTATCATACTGGCTATTTCTAGCTGATATTCGTCAAGACCAGAGGTCGATTGACAAATTCACGTGTTTTAAGAGGTCATTAGCACACTCCCAAAAAGAATGAAACTCTCTCAGAAAAATAAAAATCACCCAACTTTTTAGATAAAATCTATTTTTTCATATTTGTTGAAAGCGTTTTCTTCATTTTTTCATTCATCTTTGACGAAGATTCATAAACAATAAAAGATAAATCTCTTTTATTTCGTTTTTGATATTCAGATCTATATGTATGTATTAATATATTAATAGACACAAATTAATTTCAGCTAATTAAACATGACAAGTCTACAAAGGTTATATTTGTTATCAATTTTTTCATTCATCTTTGACGAAGATTCATAAACAATAAAAGATAAATCTCTTTTATTTCGTTTTTGATATTCAGATCTATATGTATGTATTAATATATTAATAGACACAAATTAATTTCAGCTAATTAAACATGACAAGTCTACAAAGGTTATATTTGTTATCATATGCACATGCCTTTTATTGGCTGACAGTGGTGGGTTGGTCTACGGTGGGTGGTGAGGGGCGACGTCAAGAATTGATAGGTAAAGGCCAGGGCGAAATTTATGGGAGTCGTGAATGAAAGAGGCACGAAAAGTATGACTTTGATTTATACGGTCTCTGTTTGTAATAAATTAAATTAAATCGTATATCTTTAATTTTCTTTAAAAAAAAAAGGAAAAAACATGTTATAAAGTGAAGAAAAGAGAAGAAAACACAGAGAAGTCAATAAACGTGTGTGTTTTCTGTATTTATAAAGCAAAATCAAGGATAAAACAATAATTATTTCTAGGACTGTAGGGGTATAATTGTCATTCACTCTAAATCCTAATAAACTTTCCTTTTACAACACTCTCTCTGAATGACACATTACAAAATATCTGTCTCATTAAAACCTTGTTTGATAAAAATTCAATGGGAAAAAATCAAAACAAAGGAAAAAGAGTACAATTATTTTGGAGTACTAAAAATAAATGTTGTTTCATTAAAACTTTGCTAGGAAATCCCAATAAGATAAAACCTTAGCAAAGGAAAAAATAGTACAGCTACTCCCCCTGATATTGATTACTGAAAATCTTTGAGTTGACGCATTCCAATCTCATGAATTAATTTCTTGAATGTAGATGTTGGCACTGCTTTTGTGAATAAATCAGCCACATGTCACTTGAGGGAACTTGCTGGATATCGACGTCGCCATTCTTTTGAAACTCATGTGTATGAAAGAATTTTGGAGAAAGATGCTTTGTCCTGTCACCTTTGATATAGCCTCCTTTAAGTTGTGCAACACGAGCCGCATTATCTTCATACAAAATTGTTTGAATATCCTTTGTTAAAGTTAATCCGCATGATGCTTGGATATGATAGGTCATGTTTCTCAACCACACACATTCTCGACCTGCTTTATGGAATGCAATAATTTCAAAATGATTTGATGATGTATTGCTTCACAGATCTTCATGATATAGTTGTTCCTCCACATGTAAATACATAACCTATTTGTGATTTAGCTTTATGTGGGTCAGATAGATAACCTGCATCTGGATATCCCAATAAAACAGATCTTGACTTTTGAGAATAAAATAATTTGAAAATAATGGTACCTTTAAGTAATAAAAAATATGTTTAACACCATTCCAATGTCTTTGAATTGGTGTAAAGCTATATCTTATAAGGAGATTTACAGAAAAAGTTATGTCGGGTCGAGTGCAATTTGCAAGATAAGTTAATATTCCAATTGCACTAAGGTATGGTACTTCAAGATCAAGAACTTTTTCTCCATCTTCAAGTGGACGAAATTGATCTTTTTTCACATCAAGTGATCCAACAACCATAGGTGATGCCAATGGATGTGCATTATCCATGTAAAAACATTTTAAAACTTTTTCTGTATACGTAGATTAGTGAACAAATAATCCATCTGCGAAATGTCAATCTGCAATCTAAGACAAGATTTGATTTTTCCCAAATCTTTCATCTTAAATTCATTTTTCAAATAATCAGCAATTTTGTTGAGCTCTTCAGGAGTTCCAATTAAATTTAAATCATCAACATAAACTGACACAATTGCAAATCCACTATTTGTTTTCTTTATGAAAACGCATGGACAGACATCGTCATTTTTATAACTCTCATTCAACAAATATTCGTTAAGATAATTATACCACATGCGTTCGAATTGTTTTAATTCATATAATAATCTTTGTAATTTAATTGAAAACACAGTTCTCGGGCACATATCGTTTATTCTTGGCACTTAAGTCCTTCAGGAACTTTCATAAATGTGTCACTATCAAGTTAACCATACAAATATGTAGTTACTATATCCATAAGTCGCATATCAAGTTTTTGTGACATGGTCAAACTAATTAAGAATCTAAAAGTGATGATGTCCATTACCGGAGAATATATTTCCTAGTAATCAATTCCTGGTCTTGGTGAGAAATTTTGAGCTACTAGTTGGGCTTTGTACCTTGTAATTTCATTATTTGCATTCCTCGTTCGTACAAAAATTCATTTGTATCCAACAGGGATTACATTTTCAAGTGTTCGAACTACGGGTCCAAACTCTTCGTTTCTCCAAAGAATTCAATTTCACCTGTATGACTTCTTTCCGTTTTGGCTAATCATTTCTATTTTGACAGTCTTTAACCGACTATGATTTAGGATCCTTATTTTGCATAATATCAAGAGTCGCATTAAATGCGAAAATATTGTCTATAACAATATTATTTCGTTCCCATAATTTATGAGATAACATATAATTTATTGAAATCTCATTATTTTCGAATACTTGTGGTTCTTTAGGAACCGTATTTTCAATATATGATTGATCAATCTTTTCTAACGTGACTTCTTCTAAAGTTTTTTGTTGGTTTTTTCATGTACTTTTCTTTTTCGAGGTATAGAGTCTTTCGAATCAACTGGTCGACTACGCTTCTAACATATTTAAGATTTATTTGTTACAACAAATTGTTTTGTAGGGACATCAATTTTTGCTGAAATATTTTCTCCTGGATCATATGACTTTGTCACTTTTCTTATGTCAACAAATACATCAGGTAATTGATTTACAACTCTTTACAGATGAATAATTTTTTCAACCTCTTGCTCACATTGATTGATGCGAGGATCAAAGTGCGATAGAGTTGCTTAATTTCAAGTAATTTTTCAAGATATAGTTTTTCTCCTCCCAAAGTTGGGAAAGTGATTTTATCAAAATGACAATCTGTAAAACGTACAATAAATAAATCACCCGTTAAAGGCTCAAGATACCTAATAATTGATGGTGAATCAAAACCCACATAAATTTCAAGTCTTACAATGTGAGTATATAGAGCTAATTGTTCCAATGGTCATTGAACTTAGGTTAATATCTTTGATTGATTACTGAAATTTAAAATATCGAGTTTTGGCCACTAAATTTTGGAATATGTCGTGCGTTACTCACTAGCATAACTATTGAATTTTGAAAAGTATCGAGTTTATAATGAGTAATGTATAGCATTTTTCAAAGTTCAATGAGTAATGTACAATATTTTTCAAAGTTCAGTGACCAAAACTCGATATTTTAAACTTCGATAAGCAATCAAAAATATGGATCTAAGTTCAATGTCCAAAACTCGACATTTTAAATTTCAGTGACCAATAAAAAACATCGACCTAAATTCAATGATCATTGGAACTATTAACTCGAGTATATATAATCTTTACAATGATAAACACAAAGAAAGTTTAGGAAACTAAGGAATAAACAGAACCTAAAATATTTTATAGCTGGAAGATCCCTGTAGTTACTCTACACAATCTCCTATTTACAACCCAGGTCAACAGTTTTGAATTGCAAACTATGTTATCATTAAAAAAATAAAAGAGGAGGCATGAGATAGACTTATGATCATTAACATAGTGTTCAATTTATAGTCGTCATATATGTACATAGTGTTATATATTTTAATGCACATGGCATGATTGAAAGTAGAAAATATGCGTGCTTGCACGTGCAAATAGGGAGCATCCCAAGTAAACGGACACAATTTGATTTAGACGCGTCATGAAAATTTTCTCACTAAAAATGAATCGTTTGACTGAATGAAGTTATTGTGTTCAGGGTATGAAGCAGAAATATATGAATAGAAATGATGAAGTCCATACGCGGAGTAAATGAAATGAAATTTTTAAGGTTTTTTTTATTGTAATTACCACATTTTTCCATATTTGTTACCCTAATTTAGACCTGGTAAACCTAGTTTGTTACCCCATTTATGACATACTAAACCTTATACGCATAAATTTTTATATTAAATAGAATAGATTTCTCCGTCATTTTTGGTTCTCTTTCTATTTTCTTTATTTCTTCCCTCTTCCCTTTTCTTCTTGCTTGCTGTTGTACATGATTGGTGGTAGTTAATAGTTACTTGGTTGCGCGTCAAGAATATTTTGTTTAGAGAATTCTTTATAATAAATCGTTAGAGGAAACGATGAGATTATTACTCCAGTTATTTGATTATTTAGTCATCGGCAAACTTGGGTTGTATTACTATAGATGATAGATGTCGGCAATTTAATATCGTGTCCTATTTTTGATGTGAGTTGTGTTATTCAAATAAGAGAATTGTGAATGTTTTGCTGCTGGTAATATGGAGAATAAGAAATTCTTGGCATCCCTTGATTATCTTTCAAAGCTTCAACATGCACCGAGTGAGCAGTTCCAGGAGTGACCACCGGTTACAGATGTTCAAGAGGTGGACGAAGATCAAGTTGGCGAAGATGAAAGATGGGATCCTGAATCTGAAATGGGAGAAGACAGAATTTCTTGAACCTGAAGCAAAAGACTTGGGCCCCTTTAGTTTGAATATAGGGAAAGTTTATGACGTGTTCTCCATTTGACCTTTTCTTTGAGATGAATATGCACTCTT